GTGAGGATCATAGTAGTTGGGTGGTATGTGATCACTTGCAACACATCACATTGGTCTTGAATTTCTGTAGATGGGAAGTCCTAGGCTAGCTTCTTCCTGATCATTTGACTGTTGATTGTATCAACCAAGTGCCGTTATCGAATGTCTTCGTGGGTATTGTGAACATAATGTTTGGTACTGGTGTCCAGTTATGGTGCTCACGAAACCCCAGAATTCTTTTACTGTCCTTAACGCAGTGGTTCTCAAACAGTGCGCCCAGGCGCACTGGTGCGCCCCAGAGCTTTTTCAGGTGCGCTCCGTAGCATTCCTGAAAAATATATCCAGATATGAAAAGCAAATGTATACTAAGTTACTATATTATACCATTTCTTTACGAACACTCTGCTTGTTTCGTTGCGACATTATTATAATAGTTATAAGTTACTTTTCTTGCAACTAGCTTCTGGTCCGCAAGTTTTGCACGCGTTTAAAACACGTAACAAACGTGGCTGGAACGGCATGTTAACACCGGCACTAGCTTTCATCACGTGGCCACTGGCAGTGTTGCATAACAGGCGTTGGTGAGTGGGCGTGTCGTGTCTTGTGAACTGCCGTCAAGAATAAACGTATTGTGCCTTTTACAAGTTTCAGAATAATTACCGTTGATATAATTGTCTTTGTTAAGAATAATTCACCCATAAAAATGGATAAGTTTCTTAAAAAGAAGCGTGAGATTGATGAATGTAATCCTGAAAGTGAGCAAACCTCAAATGTGGAAAGTTGTTCTAGTAAGAAAGCAAAACCGCGACCGACTCGTAAATACGATGAGAGTTATTTAAGCTTTGGCATTTCTTGGACCGGAAATGTTGATAATCTGCAGCCAGTATGTTTAGTTTGTGGAATAAAAATGTCAAATGAATCAATGCTCCCTAGTAAACTTGGTAAACATTTTAAAAGTAAACACTCTCATTTACAAGACAAACCCACAAGTTATTTTAATAGAATGTCCGAACAGCAAGAAAAAGGGGCTGATTCTTTTAAAAGTTTAATGACTGTTTCTGATAAAGCTCAAATTGCTTCTTACCAAGTCTCAGAACTGATCGCACAAAATATGAAAGCTCATACTTTGCCTGCTTGCCAAAAGATTGTCAGTACGATGTTAGGAAATGAAGCAGCTATGAAAATCAGC